TTAACATGGGCAAAATATATTTCTTCCTATCCATCTTCTCAGAAATGACTGGACTGTTTTGTTTTAAACTTTCAAGAAAAATTCAGCCAAAGGCAGATCCCCAGCATGGAAAAATTACAGGCCAAATGGTTTGAAGTGATAAACAACTAAACACAGGGTCTTATCATGGAAAGTCTTGGATAATAGGTGGTGCAACACGCCTTGGGAAAACAGAATTTTAAAATAGGGGTTATTTTTAATGTTTTAAAATTTTGGAGAGTCAGAATTGACCAGCAGAATGCGTTATATGTACCTGGATTCTATAGGAATTCATGAGGTCAAATACTGTATATCAGCAGCTCTTGGGTCCACCACTTCAATCATTTTCAACTCATACAAAGGTGAAAGTATAACTATATTTCCCCCTTTCTTACATCTAAATATATTTAGCAATTGTAAAAGTAAGCATCTTTTCTTAAATACCACAACCAAAATAGCTTTTAAATTTGTCTTTAAAAAAAATGAAAATATAACAATTAAAATTTTAGTTTCCAACTTTCCCATTCTGTTCACCACTAAAATGAGCACAACTGGCTGTGAAAGTATTTTGAAGCTTTATTATGATCACTGAATATTCTAACCACCTAGCCCATCATACTACTTTAGTCTAACATGGTCAAGCATCAGTCCTCTAAAAAATGGGGATGACCCTTTGGTAATTGTCTTTCAAATGATTTGACATAATTGTTACTAAGTCATCTTTTTTTCTAATAGCATTTTCTGCTTCTATTTCATTTGTCAACTAGGTTCTTTATTTTTGTTTAGGCTTGCTATAATTTGAATAAATATATAAAGATGGCCAAAATAATATTTACATGAAAGACTTAAAAACTCTGAAGGGGAATTTAAAGTTGCAAATTGATAGCTATGACATCTGGAACACATTGCCAGTAAATTTATTATTTTAATCCATCCATTGTTATCAAAATTAAATCTCATAAACTGCTGTTATTCTTCACTCTTCTGGTTTTATATGTTCAGATGTAGAACACGCCTTACATGACATCTCTTCTTCAGTAAACCCAAGTCTGTTACCCGCATTTTAAAGTTTTTAGATTATACATAAACTTACATTTTCTAATGTCTGTCTTCAGTAATTGTAAACAAAATATTATGTAACACTGGAGTAATACTTCAATCAAAATTGTACGTTATTTTTGAAGTATTTCTTTATCCAGTGTAATTGGTGGTTTTTCTTTTGAAAGCTGGTGAATGTTAGAATTCTCTTGACGCTATAGGTAAAACACCATGTTCTGATTTACCCTTTGACTTACACAATACAGCTCAAATGTTACACTGATATTTTTCCCTATTTCATCTTTTCAGCGGATTCCTTTTCTATGCTAGGTGTAATTCTGAGCATATTAAAAATGTGAAACAGTGATGGTGAACAGAAGCAAAGTATCAAACTTCCATTTTTATTTTTCCTTCTGGATTTTTTTAAGGAAGTATTGAATTGTTTTCACAAACTTTTAAGAAGAGCTTAAGATAGAGTGATTGGCATGTGTTGCATTTGTACTAAATAAGACTGCTGGATCTAGGTGATTTTTATAGAACTCTTTTTTTCCTTTCTTTTTCCTTATAACTCTTAGTCGGTAAGTATAACTCCTGATTTCAGAGCTATTGCTCCATTACGCATACTAACCTGTCATTCTCTTTAACCTGTAGCATGAACAGCAGTTACATAATGAAATTCTATCTATTCTGTCATCTGTGCTCATCTGTTAATGCCCTTCAACCTTTGCGGTTCGTGTCTAGTGTCTCGCACCTGTTACTTTTATCTTTTCTTCCCCCTCCCCCACTTGTGTCCACTCCTTCCTCATCACTTCTTCATTCTCAACAAAGAAAGAAATGCTGTGATATTTCTTCTCCTTCTAAAACCTCCACTAGAAAGCACTGACCACATCAAGGTAAAGGGCAAAGGCTTGAAATGGAAGGTCTTTCACACTAGCTGTGAATGGCATGCTGTGCAAAACATCCATGGTTTTCTATTCTCTAATTCCCATGATTTGAAATGCTTTAATTCATTATAAAATTAGAGCAAGATAGAATTTCAAAAAACGAAGAGGGTGTGTGTTTCCCCACTTGCATTTTTTATAAGGCATAGTGAGTTAGGCACTATCGTACCGTTCCAGATTGTTTGGCAATGCAGTACCTAGTTCATGAACAGAATTGCTGTCACCAGCTGGGGAACAAATAACACAGTGCCTTTTCCTCCCCCTGTCACTTGGGTGGGTCATGTCAGTTTGAACAACATGAGAAGTACTGTGGTCTCTTTGGAGTAGGCAGATGATGGATCAGACAAGTAGAACATCTGAGTTGTTAAATCGGTTTGGTTTATGGCAATATGTTTTAGGTACATACTTCTGACCTGAGTATGTGATTTCACTGACCACTTTAGGGCATCATCAAAATAAATTATATTCAGAGATTTATATGTGTAATAAAGTGATCCCCTCTATGCATTGAGCTTACGCTGAGGAGTGGTAGCCTCAGTTTTGATTGTTACATCTATATTGTAGAGAAGAGGCCAGGGAACGGGAAAAATATAGGTTGAAATTCTGGTCCCATTGAAGCCTATTCAAGTTTTACCTTTGATTTGAGTGGGATCAGGATTTCACCCATAATTTCTATAGGCCAAAATTATCAGTAAGGATTCCGGTAATGAGATAAATCAATCTGCCAGGCTGTGCTACAAGTTAATTATAATTAGTTAAGTCTATCTGTTAGAGTTGAGTGAATAATGGAGTTTGTGGTTTGCTGGCAATTCTGAAAATTCAGGAAAAAATTGTTTTGAGTTGAAGTGAAAATAGAATTCCTTGGGTTGTTGGGGGGCATTGTTTTGTTTTTTGTTTTGTAATGAGAAAAATTGGGGGGAAATGAATTGGATCAAAAACTAAATGTTTAATTTCAACCCCAATTTTTTTGATTTCAGACATTTTCACAGAAGCAAAGGCTTTGATTCACAAAATTCAGGGGATGAGCTGGGGGAAGGAAAGGCCTCTTTTATAACTCTTAATTCAGTGGTTAGGGTACTCACATGGGATGTGGGAGACTCAGGTTCAATTCTCCCCTCTGCCTCGTGTAGAAAAGGCATTTGAACTTCAGCATCTCCACAGTGCAGGAGAGTATCCTAGTCTCTGGGCTATGGGATATTGTGCTGTGGATCTTTCTCAATCTGTTCTGTTGAAGCTGTTCTATTTATTATAAATAGTCACTGGATTGGGGACTTACACTTCAGTCATCTCCCACATCCTAGGCGAGTCCCCTAACTACCAAGCTATAGAGCAGAGGTCCCCAAACTCTGGGGCATGTCCCTCAGGGGCAGGGAGGAGTGTTCGGGGGCATGCCTAGGGCCCAGGCCAGCCCCCACAGGGGACAGGGAGGGAGGGCCGCCCCACCACAGCTCCAGCCAAGGCTCCACTCCTACCCCTGCCCCCAGTGTCAGCCCCCTTATCTCTATCCACGTCCCCCCCTCATGGAGCTGCAGCCCTGCTCCTGGCCCCAGCTTGAGGAGGGAGCAGGCATGGACAACGGAAAGGGAAGGCACAAGGTAAAATGTTTGGGGATCTCTGCCATAGAGTCTGCTGGCTTGTTCGTTGTCATTCATAGGAGCAATCCATAGTCATTGGGACAGGGAAAGAGAGTGAGAGTGACTTGATAAGCCAGGTGGTTAAACCTAGAATGTAGGAGACACCAGTTCATGTTCCTGCTGCAATTACTACTTAAATATTTATTTTAAAAAAAAAAAAAAAAGTAGAACAGCTTTAACAGGACAGATTGAGAGAGACCCACACCAGAATATCCCACAGCCCAGTGGCTAGGACAATCACCTCCAATGTGGGAGATGCAAGTTCAAATCCCTTCACTTCATCACGGGAATTGAACCTGGGTTTCCCATATGCCAGGAGAGTATTCTAAGCACTAGCTAAAGCAGCAGTTCTCAACCCACAGGCTGCATGCAGTGGCAGCCCAATTAGCACGCAACTGTGGCTCAGCTGTTTACTAAAAAAAATTCAAAATGTGCTGCTCTGGTCTCGCAAGGGGTGGGGCTGGCTGAGGGGGAGTTTGGTCAAAACTATTTGGCAAATTCAACACATCACTGATAGTTTCAGCTGAACTGAAACTGCATTTTTTGGGCTAATAAACTATTCAAGGGAAAAAAATCACCCAACTGTTTATTGTAGATACTCAAGAGGGACTGATGAACACAGTTATAAATCTCTGCACACAGAAATAATTAGAGAGAATGCAACTTTGATCTCTCATTTGTTACCTTTTCTTTTGCATCTTTTTGTGGGAGAGGATGTTGAGGACGGAAGAGTTGGGTGGTGTGGTTTTCATAATGAGCTCTCAAAAAAAGTCTCTGGGCCTTCTGAGGGTGCTCAGGTAATGAGTTGCCTTCTGTAATCTTAAATTCATCTTGTTCCTTTTACAAAGAAAATAAAGCATGTAGAACATCCAATTAGTAAGATCTGTTCAAGCTTCTGCCTTGTGCATCTGGAGGAATTTGTCTTCTCGTGCTTTTTACTAAAGATTAGGTCCTACCAATGGGGGCCCCTCAGTGATCCCCTTCTCCCAGTTCTGCCTTTTCAGTTGCTTTCCTAGAATTCACTGCATACTCACCAAACTGTTAATCCTTCACATTCTGACTGCCAAGTGAATTTGCTTTCTCTCTGGTTATAGTTTGATTAATAACTCTCCATCCTTGAAGAAAGCTGTCATGTTTGCCCTCCTGACAAGAGGAATGGTGTTGTCCATTTCAGTCCTGTCTCATTGCAGAGATTGAGGTTTACAGTACCTTGTAGACTAGGGAGAGTTTTTGGCATAGCTTTTTCTTTAGGGGTTAATTTGTTCTCTTGCTACTTTTGTTCAGTGAAGTTTCACACAGTTGGTAAAGGGTTTGTATATGCTGTGCACTGATGGCGTAGCTCCAGTTCCCATCTGTTCCCTGTCTGTAGATTTCCTTGCTGTGAGTGAGGAAGACTGGACTAACAAGCTTGGTGTCCTCTGCAGGCTCCTGCCCAGAGACCCAGCCAGGCGAAACTCCAGCAGCAGTGCAGGTGGATGGGACCGATTTAGCTTCTCCAATGTCTCCTCGGACTAGCAAGAGCCGAATGTCCATGAAACTTCGCCGCTCCTCTGGCTCAGCCAACAAGTCCTAAACATTGAGAAACCTGCAGCTTCCTAATAAACAGTGATCAGCAACCCCCTAGTGCACTGACTCTCTGCTTTCAGTTAAAAGAAAATGTTCCTGATATGTGTCTCTCCCATAGCCAGCGCAGCCTTTTCCTGTACATTTATTTTAGACAGCGACACTGGAATTTTATTTGTAATTTAATATTTTAGCTTTTGTTGTGGTTTTTTTTTTTTATAAAACTCCAGGCTGCCATATTATTTTCAGTGTAGTTTCTTCTCTGCACTTTTTACCTTCCAGGATGATGATGTCTAAAGTAGCCACTTTTAACCCTGTTGTTAACCTGAAGGCACACACGGAATTGGAGACTGCAGTCTTATTACATTTTATTTATTGTGCCCCCATTGCAATTTTCTTTGTAACAGAAATAAATAAATATGTACAATTTGAAAATGAATGTACAATTTTAAATTCCAAATGCATTTGTAACGTCCTCATCAAATGTCACAGATATTGTTCATGCACAGGATGTGTACAGATTATTTATGTTATAAGAATAAAATACTTAAAATAAATGGTCTTTTAGCATTTCAGAGTTCAAATGAGAGAATTTGCTAGCAGCACCAACTCCTTCACTATGTAATGTATCATTTCATAACTGTGCAGGTGATGCCATAACCTATGCCCAAATACCAGAAAAAATCACTGTGCTGAAATTCTATTTATGCTTGGCTTCCAAATATTTTTATAATGTTTGCTTTCTAAGTTGTATCAATAGTAAATTCTATTCTGTTCTGAAGCTGTGGCCTTTATCATCAGGCTGCTGGGTCTAGATCTATATTGCTCTTTCTTACATAAAAGCACTTTTCTGATGTAAATTCATTGCTACAGTGATGTGTACTTTTGAAGAAAAGGGAACATGCTCCAGAAGTCTGACCTGAAATACTGGGTTTTTTTTCTAACCATATAGGTGTAGATTAGTACACATTCCACCCACCAAGAGATATTTTCCTACAGGCGATGAAATGCTCACATTTGTTTTGAGTTGGGCATATTCTGTTATAATGAAATGTAGCATGGCATTGGTACTAACTGCATGTGTAAATATATCATAAGGCAACAATAGAAATATAAATTATGTATTGTCATTCATGTAGTATCTACAAATTTGTAATGGTTAAAGAGAAGACATGCTATTTAATAATACAATAAAATTATTCTTACCACCACCTTTATATTATTCATTCCTCTGCAGAGATTGGACTCTTGTTATTCAAATCAATGAGAGTGGCTTAGTCTGTTATCAGATAAATTAGAGGATTTGGGAAGGGTTGGTGTAATGTGTGATTTTGTTTTCATCCTTACTAAATTTGGTGTAAATTCTTAGATCTCTAGCCTTAGCCCCTCATAGTGCTTCCAACACAGATCCTCTGAAAACTCTTCCCCAGAGCCACTAGGCTAATATGCAGTACCTAAAGCAGGTCAAATAATACAAAGCACCTATGAGAACATCTTGCTGTGTGAGCTATGCGCTCTTAGCTCGTTGCAGGAACAGCATTTGGTGGTCATTATATGGTTTTAGTCAGTTCTTAGTTCATTATATTTGATTGTAGGAGCAAAGATTAAGGCTGGTGATGTGATAGTCTCATTTATTAAGTGAGTTTCTCCAAGGGAGAATTTACTTTAAAGAAATTAATTAGATTTGTTTAAAACCTCCCTTTAGACTTTTGATGCTTTTTAAAAGCCTTCCTAGAATACCAAATTACCAAAGCCCCTTTCGTTTCTCAACAGATCACTGCAAAGATGCACTTATGAAATAATAGCACTGTTCAGATAAGTTCTGACAAAACGTGTTGTTGAGCTGGAACTTTTGTTTCAGCAGTTTTGTGTGAAGGTTTTCCCCATGTTTATAGATTGGCCCAAAAACTCAGAAGAGTCAAACAAGAGAAACACCCCTCTCATGCATATTTGTACTTAGGAAACTAGCATTGTATCTTTAATCTTTTGTTATACAAGTCTCACTACTCCGTGCCTTCATACTTTATATTTGTGTATAAAGAGATGCTAAACTGTGAAGAAATAATTACTGTAGAGGAAGCCAATCCAGCTATTTTTAATTGATTCTTCTGCTCATTTGAGAGGGTACAGGCGCTGATTATTTTAATCTATTAGTCTATACAAAATCACCTGCTAACCCATTCCCCAGCTAGCTTCAGGAAAAGGATTAGTTTTGTTTTAAATACTTTATTCAAATATCACTTTTGCCTAAGTTACCATCCTATTTTGAAATAAGTATTTGTATGCAGAGATTCAGGAGGAAACATCACTATCTTTGCACTCTGAATGTGATGTTCTAAAACATTCAGACAGATCCCTACAAATGGGGAAATATATTGCCAATGCACTTAATATAGAGAGAGACAAGGTGGGTAAGATAATCTTATTTTTCAACAGGCCACTTCACCTTGAACGGTCCCAAAGGGCTGGTCTACACTGGGGGGGGGGGGGTCGAGCCAAGATACGCAACTTCAACTACGCGAATAGCGTAGCTGAAGTCGAAGTATCTTGGATCGAATTACCTGGGATCCAGACGGCAAGGGATCGATGGCCGCGGCGCCCCCGTCGACTGCGCTACCCCTGCTCGCTCTGGTGGAGTTCCGGAGTCGACGATGAGCGCGTTCGGGATGCGATATATCGATCCTGGATAAATCGATTGCTACCCACCATATCGGCGGGTAATGAAGACTTACCCTTAGAATGTGTGTTAACTACTTATGCTAAATAATCGTTTCAACTTGTATTTAACGTGACATGGAGTACCTTTCCCAGACCTGAAGAAAAGCTCTTTGGGGCTCAAAAGCTTGTCTCTCACCAACAGAAGCGGGTTTAATAAAAGATGCGTCAGCCACCTTGTGTGTCTAATATCCTGGGACCCAGATGGCTATAATACTGCAACAAAGTATGTTGTGTGTCAATATAGGAGGGGCGCTTATCTCATCTGCTCTTTAGCAACATTGTAGAAGGACTGTGTCGTCTTTTAAGCATAGCTAATGTTCACAACAGCAGTAGAGGGGCTGGAGTTTGAGTTAATTGAGAAAGAGGGGATTCGGGATCGTAGCCCCTTGGAATCCTGAGCGCTGAAATGGATCGCTTAGAGGCATCCTGTGTGATGATTTTGTACTGGTGCTCTTTGCCCTTGTTCTGGATAAAACACAATGCAAGGAATGTACCCATTTCTGTGTAGTGCCGTGGCCAAGCTAGCAGCCCACTAAAATCGCAAAAGTTTTCCAACCTCTAGTTAAGAGAGGAGCGTTTCGTCTACACTACATTTTCTAGGGTATACAACATACAGTGATCAGAAAAGGCGCAAGTAGCTAACAAACGGTTAACCATTCATATTTTAATAACCAACAGCAGACAGTACGGTTAATTCTCCATAAGTATTGCTAGTTATATAGGACTTGACACTGACTTAATATGAACACTTAACTTTATGTACTTTAATACAGGATACAGCGAAGAAAACACTTCATAATAAATTATTAAAGTTGAGGAGCTGGGGCTTCTATTAAAACAATTTAACTAAGCCAGTCTCCTTTTTCACGAAAAATAATACTCTTCTTTTTAAATAGGATATGCGGCTGTACTTCTATCCTGGGGGAGAGACTGCAGAAGATTATTTACTTTCACTTTGTCAGTAGCCGCTTCCCCAGCACTCCCCAAAGCCCACAGCCAGCCCGAGATTTTTATGTTTGGATAATTTTCGTCCTTTCAAGCATTATATAAGAGCTCTTCAAAATACTGTTACTAACTTTCAGTGGTAAGGGGGCCATGCCTAGATCCAACTCCCCAACTTTATTGAAAATATGACGCTTGTCACTAATTCTCTTTCACTTCTTGGATTCACAGAATATACATTGCAGTCTAAGTCCATTAAGGCAGCAAGGATAATTCGTAGTCAACTTGTGGTTGACTTATTAAACTTTTGGCATGATGGCAACGGGACTTTTCGTTCGCTGCCACTTGGCAGCCTCTCCCCTGCCCCTTCCTGATTTTTCCTTTGTAGACATGTATGCACACACCGCGACTTTCCATAGGAATTACAGTTTGGATAGGATTCGTTTAGCTTACCGGTGGTTTTGAAGAATCCTATCAAATCAACTATTTAAACTATAGGAGAGTCATTAACACTGCAGACTACAACCAAATACACCCCTTCCCCCGGGAGCACTAGACATTTCAAACACCAGTTTAGAGGGACTCTGAAAGGTGACAGTTCAGTCCCTATGAACGAGATTCTCCTGTCAGGGCCCGTGCCTTCCCATGCCCTCTTACTCATTAGCAGCCTGGTCTGACGGCCATCTGGAGCAGAAGGACCTGCCTGTTCTCCGTGGGGTGGCACTTGTTGATGTGCCTGGTGAGGCCCGGCGAGCTGAAGAAGGTAGCAGGGCAGTGCTTGCAGGAGAAGATCTGCTGCTCCCCTTCCGTGGCACTGCTCTCGGGCTGCACCATGGGCAGCAGCAGCTCCTCCCGCACGGCGTGCCACAGCCGGTGCTTGTCCCTGATGTCCGCCGAGGGGAAGTGAGCCCCGCACAGGTGGCAGGGGAAGGTGATCTGGCCCCGCTCCAGGGGGCTGTAGGCCGTGGGCCGGGGCGCCTCGTGGGTGCTGAGGTGCTTGCGCAGGTAAGCCTGGCGGCGGAACTTCTTGTGGCAGTAGGGGCAGACGAAGACCTCGTTGCCGCCGGGGATCGGGCCCGGAGGGGCCGCCTCCCTCAGCCCCTCGCCGCCCGCCAGGCACAGGGCGCTCTGGCCGGCGGGCTTCAGGTCTCGGCAGCAGGAGCTGTCCGCGGCGCTGGGGTGCTGATCCTGCTCGGGTGGCGGCGGCGGCTGGCGCGGCCCCTCTGGGGCTGCGGGGCGCGGCTCGCTGCTGTTCTCCTTCCCCTCAGAGGGGCACGGGGCGCCCGAGGGCTTCTTGGCGCCCGGGCCGTCGGCGCCGGCGGCGGGGCGGGGCTTGTGCCAGCGGCGGTGCGAGGCCAGGTTGGCCGGGCAGCTGAAGATCTTGTGGCACTCGGGGCAGCGGTACTCGACGCGCACGATGCGCGAGCAGCGGTGCTGGGCCAGCGCCAGCGGGTCGGCGTACTGCTCCTTGCACAGCTGGCAGATGAACTCGCCCAGCGGCGTGCGCCCGCCCGCGGGGGGGCCGGCCCTGCCCTCCGGCCCTTCCGCCTTGATCCGCAGCCCCAGCACGGGCGACGTGGTCACCTCGTCGGCGAAGCTGAGCTTCCGCAGGGCCTTGGGCTTCTTGGCCGGCGCCTTGGCCCGGGGCGGCCGCTTCAGCGCCGGGCAGAGCGGTTCCTGGGCCAGCCGGCCGCCCGGCGCGGGGAGGGGCGTGCGGGGCGGCAGCAGGAGCCTCTCGGCGGGCGGGAAGGACTCGGCGGAGGCGGGCGAGCTGAGGCAGCGCTCGAAGAAAGCCTTCCTCAGCCCCGCCGCGCTGCAGGCGCCCCCCGCACCCCAGGCGGCCGGTCCCTCGGGCGGAGTTGGCCGGCAAGTGGCTATCCCAGGAGCTGGCTCCGGGCTCGGCGGCGGAGCGACCGGCTCCCCCTCCTCCCGGGCGGCTTTGGGGAGCGGGGACAAGGGTGGGCCGGCCCCCGCGGCCAGCGGGGGCTCCTGGGCGGGGGGCACCTGTAGCGGCTGCTGGAGGTCCCTCTCCTGGCGGCGCACCCTGTAGGAGCCGCCCGCCCTCCTGCTCCGCTTCACCAGAAACCCCCGGGGCATCTTCCCGCGTGCGGGGCGAGGGCCAGGGCACCGGGCTGAGCCTGCAGCCCCCCAGGAGCGCTGAGCATCGCGGCGCCGCCTGCCCGAGGTGCATTTATACCTAAAGGCGCCTATTGTTTGCCAAGGCGTCATCCTCCCTTCAGCAAAGGGCGGCCAATGAGGAGTTGGAGCCGCCGCTGGATGAGGGAGGGGAGGAGGATGGGCTGGGAAGGGAAGGAGCCTCAAGTGTGTGGGCGGGGGGGCCCTCTGAGTCCTGGCTAGAGGGCCCCTCCGAACACCCTCACCGCTAGGGACAGAGGGTCTGAGCTGGCACAAGGCGTCCAACGCAGGCCAGACAGAGCCCACGCAGACTCTGCCCTTGGATCTTCATGGTCCCTGCCTGGGATTTGGAATTACACCAACCAATACACCCATCCAACGGGAGAGAACCCCCTTCTGACCACTCTGTAGCTAGACCAGCTTAGCTCCCCCCAGCCCAGCGCTGGGTATGGGCTGCCACAGGAGCCCCAGGTCTCTGGTCTGACGGCTACCAAATGTTATCTTGACTAGAGACCCTGGGAGTTCCAGGCAGGCTCTCGGCGACGCTTACCCTACAGTTCCCAAGACCATGGGAGTCCAGGGAGTTACCTTACGGGAGCTTCTCCTGGAATGACGGTTCTTTAAAGCTGGGGGGTTGGTTAAGTGAAAGAAGCAATTTCTCTTCCCTCTAAAATCCTGGAGATTGATCTAAATGAGTGAATTGCACGTGTTTATGTCCTGACTGTCGCTGGTTCTTCAGTGTATCTGTCTCGCTATTTCCTCCTTCCTCGGGGCCCCACCATCACTTACTCCCTCTTCTGCAAGGCGTTTGCCTCGTGGACTAAGACATTTTAGATCTTCTTATAACAATGGATCAAATTCATATCCCCCGTCATCAAGTGCATCCTATGAGGTGAATTTAGTCCATCTCACATCAAGAAATGGGATAAATTTAACAGGAAGTCCTCCACTCCCAACCTTGCAAGATGTCCTCCTCCTAAGAAGGTAGGTGAAATATATCAATGTGGGGGTCGTTTTCTCTTTAATTACCAGGTTACATCCATCTAATTGACATGTCTCTAGTCTAGATCTAGTTTGCTAAATTAGGTTTTTATTCCTACCCGAAAAAAGGCAACAGGAAGCACATGCACTTACAGCTCCTCCCCATTCCAGCGCTCCTTGGAAAAAGAAGCACCAGGACTTTGTAAAGGATTGGCGTCTATGTGTGTTAAAGAGGTGGTACCCGCTCAGCTACACTTGACTTGTTCAGAAAGTTAATCATAGGTTTTTCCTTCTGTAGCTCCTATCAGGTCCATCCCACTAGACAGTGCTGGGTAGGTAGTCCCAGTTGTACATTTGTTAGAGCTTTGTCCAGTCTAGTTTGAAATGATCTAAGCTGTCTGCCGTTGCACTTTGGGATGGAACTGGGGCTGTGTGTCTGTCACTGTGTTTCTCTTCAGGGGTATGTCCTCTACTGCCAGGCACCAGCACTCTCATTACCATACAGCTGCTGGCCTGCTTGCTGCAGCTTCACACTGTTGGAGAGAGAGAGGGATGGAGATATGGGACAATTTAATGCACTGAACCATTGGCTTGTGTTTTCATTTCAAACCGTGCCTCCTAAAAGCTCCAGGGGAAAGGGCTTTTGTCTGCCAGCTACCACACCTTGGTAAATTAAGTCCCAAGCAGACTGTGAAGAGCTACAAAAGAATCTCACAAAACTGGAGACAGCTTCTGTCTGAGGAGAGATTAATAAAACTGAGACTTTTCAGCTTGGAAAAGAGACGACTAAGGGGGGATATGATAGAGGTATATAAAATCATGACTGGTGTAGAGAAAGTAAATAAGGAAGTGTTATTAGGGATGGTGTCCCTAACCTCTGTTTGCCAAAAACTGGGAATGGGCAACAGGGGATGGATCACTTGATGATTACCTGTTCTGTTCATTTTCTCTGGGGCACCTGGCATTGGCCAGAGTCAGAAGACAGGATACTGGGCTAGATGGACCTTTGGTCTGACCCAGTATGGTCATTCTTATGTTCTTATGTAAAAGGTCAAAATAGTAATTTCCCCCCAAAAATTAAATTTTCCTAGCAGAAATTCTAAGATGTCTATTCCTTTTACAGTCCTAATCCAGCTAAAGTAAAGTGAAATACTTCTAATAGAACTTCTACTAGGCACAAAGGGACAAAAAGATTAAAATTAAAAGACCTTCTAACTTCAAAGTGTCTGTGTGACAGAAGCTGTGTTAATTTGCGAGGGAAGGAACAAAATTATCTGTGTGTTGAGGGGAGAAGAGGAGAATTATGCAGGATTGAGTCACTTCATTTCATCCACATCAGGTTGGTTCTTTTGCAATACATTCCCCATACATACCCACACACCTTATTCATGGCCTTGTATGTGTGATGGACAGTTTGTGAGTATAGCAAATAGAGTGGTAGTGCTGTTTGATAATGCAGTAATCATTTTCCCTTAGAAATGCTGTTGTCTGAGAATAGAACAAGGTAAAAGTGCAATGATAGAATTATATGGGGAACAATTGTTTAAATTCTCCCTGGCTTTGGCCCACGCTATCAGTTTCTCACATTCTTGAACACTGGAATTGACTCATTTATTGAAAATCATTTTAAAAAAAAGACATAGGGTATTGGTAGCCTATGATATACAAGAGGCCAGACTAGATTATCTGGTGGTCCTTTCTGGCCTTAAACTCTATGAATATATCTACCCAGCAACTAAGCACCTGCAGCTGGCCTGTGCCAGCTGACTCAGGCTCACGGGGCTGAGGCTGCAGGGCTGTTTCATTGCTGTGTAGACTTCTGGGCTCAGGCTGGAGCCCAGGCTCTAGGACCCTGCGAGATGGGAGCATCCCAGAGCTTGAGCTCCAGCCCAAGCCCAGAAGTCTACACAGCAATGAAACAACCCCGTAGCCTGACCCCCGCAAGCCTGAGTCAGCTAGCACAGGCCAGCTGTGGGTTTTTCTTTGCTGTGTAGAAATACCCTAAGAGTCTATGACATCCACAGTGAGAGGTGAATTGTATGTAGACCTAGTGTGTGTGAATACTGTATAATGTATGTGTAGCATAACATATGACAGAGTATGGCAAAATGAAGGGTTGTACATGTATTTCTAATTAAATTATGGAATAACATAGCTTGTCAATACAGTACAATACAAATGATCCCCTGGTGAACGTTCTTTAGCCCGGAAAAAAATTATTATGGGGTATGTGAAGAAGAAGGGGACTAGTGCAAGCAGTGCCTTTAAATCAAGAACTTATAACAAATAGCAGAAAGGATGAGGTCTTTTGGTCAGGTGCAAGTTCAGAGGTTTCCTGTACTGATTCATAACACTAAATCCATATTTCTCTTGAATACATGTGATGATGGTACCATGAGGAATACTTCTTACTGTTAGATTCTTTCTCCTTCTCTTTCCCCTCCACTGTTTATTACTGCCACTTGTGGCATCTTGTCTTAAATGGGATTGAAAACTGTGGGGGGCAGAGACCATATCTTCCTATGTGTTTTACAAGGCCCAGCACTGTCCTAAGTGAGACCTGTCATCTCTACTATAATACAAATAGATTATTCCATTAATTGATCTGATAGGAAATTTTTCCTGATATCTGGTTTGGCTTTTCCTTTTCTTAGCTGCCATTGCTTCCTTTGGTCACTGTAATTAGCACTTTCCCATTGTACTTGTTACTGAATAAATATACCTCTTTGATATTGTGTCCCCATGTTATACCTCTCTTCTAAACTGTACATATAGAATTCTTTCCATTTCTCCTTATAAATAGCCCCTCTAATCATTCATTCACTCTTTTAAACTGGTAGTGGTTTGCTACCAGTATTTAAACAAAGGATTGTCATACATATGTCCAATTTAGGTATAGATGCTACAGACAGCAGGGGTGAGGACTGGGCAATCTAATAATGTGTTTTCCTATTTAAACAACAAAAGCTTCTCCATCAATAAGCAAGAATGGAGCTAACACCAGTTGGCAAACAAATGCATTAAGTGCACTTGCTGGAAATCTATCATTTTCCCCCCCGAAAACTATACTGATTCTATTAATATTGTAACTCAATGTTCAACTGGTATTACTTGCAGTGGAAGCAGGAGTTGAAAATCTTGCAAAGGGGTAGGTCTGGAGTTATCCTCCCAGTGGAAATGTTTAGAGTATTACTCCTAAGGGCATTCTGCGCCAAAAAATTAAAAATTCTGGCCACAATATTTTAAAATTCTGCAAGTTTTATTTGTTAATAAATAAATGCAGAGGCTCCAGCATGGCAGTGGGGAGCACAGGCCACTGGCTGCACGAAGGTGGGAGATCACCCTGCAGCTCCCACCCCCACGACACAGACTCAGTAGTGTGGCGTGGGTGAGAGGATTTTGTGTGGGACAATCTGGGTGCAGGCAGCTCAGTGGGGGGGTCTAGGTGTGGGGGTCTGGATGCACACAGGCTTGTTGGGGGGGTGCCAGGTGCAGGTGCAATAGGACTCTGCAGGGGCTTCCAGGTGAAGGTGGTTGGGGCTCAGTGGCAGGGCCGGCTCTAACTTTTTTGCTGCCCCAGGCAAAAAAGAAGAGAGCCGCCCTGCCGTACCCCCCTCCTGCGAGTGCCGCCGAAATCCCCGCCCCCCAGCACCACTCCACCCGAAGCCCTGCCCCCCCTAGCGCTGCGCCGCCCGAAGCCCCGCCCCCTCCAAGCACCACGCCGCCTGAAGCCCCGCCCCCCCGAGCGCCGCCCGAAGCCCCCGCCCTCCCTGAGCACCACACCGCCCAAAGCCCTGCCCCCCCTCCGAGCACCATGCCGCCCAAAGCCCCCGCCCTCCCTCCAAGCGCCGCCCAAAGCCCCCGCCCCCCCTCCGAGCGCCGCCCAAAGCCCCGCCCCCCTCCGAGCACCGCGCCACCCGAAGCCCTGCCCCCCCGAGCACCGCCCGAAGCCCCTGCCCCCCCCTCTGAGCACCGCGCAGCCCGAAGCCCCCGCCACCGCTCCGAGCGCCACACCACCGAATCCAAAAAAATAAAAATAAAAAAAAAATTGAGCGCCGCCCTGCCCCAAGGTGCCGCCCCAAGCATGTGCTTGGTCAGCTGGTGCCTGGAGC